AAGGGCACATGCCCGGGTTGTGGGCTCCATCCCCCGTAGGAGACTTGCAGGAGGCAGCTGCTCCACGATTCTCTCTCATCATGGATCTTTCTATCTCTCTCTCCCTCTTCCTTCCTCTCTGAAATCAATAAAAATATATTTTAAAAAATTAATTAAATAAAATTAGGGCTTGGAATATTTTACATAAAAGAGAAACTAACTCTCTGAAATCAATAAAAATATATTTTAAAAAACTAATTAAATAAAATTAGGGCTTGGAATATTTTACGAGAAACTGACTCATACACTAAGCTTTCAATCATTTCACATATGTAAGATTTAATAAGTTTATACTATTTTGTGTTGACAATAACATTTTTATTAATGGTAGCATTACATGTTGAAAATTTGAATAGTATTTAGCTTTCTGATATTAAAATGGGATAGCCATAACATCATATTAAATTATTTTTTATTTTAGAGGATTTCCTGGGCCAAAGAATAAAATCTGTAGCTCTTTCACCAAACAGCTATCCAGAAAGATGAATAAAAAAAACCCCAAAACACCAAGGTATCTATTACCCCACATTTTCTAATCAATATGGCTTAATTTTTTTCTTTTTGGCTTTATTTTTGCACAGTAACATCTCTGTAAATGCAATCGAGGCTGCACAATTTCCACATGCTGAATACTGTAGAGATTTTTTATTTTCAACTCTGACAACTTCTCATGGGCAATCCACATATTTGTTTTATCATAATCATTTAGGACGGAGGTTCTGGCACCATCTAAGAGTAGAGTTCCCACCCTCTGACAAATTATTTAACTTCTGGGAGTCTTGATTCCATCACAATTGGAGATAATACCTATTTACCTCTAGGGCATACTGGGGGATTAGATGAGCTAAATTTGTAGAAAGCCCTTAGCACAATGCCCACTAAGGGTCCAAGAAATGGACCGTTACTACTGTTTCATGTACATATTTATGCATGTATGTATACATGTATATATATATCTTAATGAGCTTTTATTAGCTATGTTGGTTAAAGGTTTTCTTTGTCCCGTGATTTACTTTTAGATTTTAGAATACATTTCATTGTGCACATTCCATTTTTATTATAACAAAAATTATTATGACCATCATCATCAAATACATCTACTGCATCCCTCATAACACTCATCACTTCCTTAATAATTATAATCCTTTCTTCCCTTCAACACGGGATAAATAACCCATCACACTGCTCTAAGTCCCCATCAGAAACCCACTGCCCACACTAACTTACCAAATCTGCTACTTTAGCCAGGTCAATCATCATGTTAATGTCACATCCACATTCAATAATGGTGAGTCTGCGCTTTTTACCTATAAGTGAAAAGATGAAAATTGTACTTTAAAAAAAATATATCCATTAACGTTAATTAACATTTTTAACTGCATTAAGTAAAGCACCATATACACTTATAGGAGTATGCCAGAAATTCATTTTTATAGGAGAAAATTGATAAAATCTATTTCATCTTGGTTTTCTTGCTATGTTCTCTAATTTTAAAATATTACAAGACTACTCATATGAATAAAGTGCTCAAACAGGTAAAATTCCGACTAGAATGGGCAGACAAGTGGATTTCATGATGACCCTGATACTGTTCAGTAGTGGCCAGCGCTTCTACCTCTAACAAAGCTTCCTGTGTTCCCACTATAGCTAAAAAAATCCTCAAACCTAATACAACAGAATGTTTGTGAACAATCATTATTTCTAAAATAAATCTAAAGAAGTCATCACCATAACAAAAATGTCTTAAAGAGAAGCCTCAGTCCAACTATAGTTGTCCTTTGAACAATTAGGGGGTTAGGGACGCCAACCCTTGTGCAGTAGAAAATTGCATATAATCTTTGACTCCCCCAAAACTTGAGTCGTCCCTTGGTAAACACAGGGGTTGGTTCCAGGACCCCTGTGGATATCAAAAGCCAAAGGGGCTCAACTCCCTTACATAAAATGGCTCATAACAATGCATAGAGGTGGCCTTCGCATATGCAGATTCCCAACCACGGATGAAAAAATACTCTTTCTGATCCACAGTTGCTTGACTCTGCAGATGTGAAACCTAGGGATACAAAAAGCCAACTGTACATTTATTTTAAAAAAAAAATCCAGATAGAAGTGGACCCGTGCTTATTATTGCTAAATGAGAAAGTTCAGGCTCTACCACTGTCATTTCGGGAATTTGTTTCATCTTCCCTCAAATTTAGAAAGGTCACCATCTTCCAAAGCAGATAAATCTCACAGGAAAGAGAGGAAAACTCCCTTACTTCCACAAGAATGGGAAGTACTTGCTATCTGTTAAATGAAGGTGCTCACCAGGACCAAGCCAGCCTGCCCAGGCCAGCCACACCTTTCAGAGGAGCATCCCTAGCAAACCCACACTGCAGTCAGAATAAGGTATACATCTGCATCATTATTACCTTTAGGAACTTACCTTTTTCTGAAGTTACAGCCAACTTAGTAAAACTTATAAGAGGTAATATGAAGTGACAATATTAATTTCGCATTTACCAGTAAAAAAAAAAAGTTCAACAAGGACATGCATGCTTCTCAGACGACACCACCTGCCATGTGCGTCTGGGGTTGCACCAGCCTACCTGACACAATTGTTACAGGGCCTCTGATCTCTGTGAGCTTCTGCCTGGTGAAGTTCCGAATGAGGCACTGAATCAAAGTGCTCTTGCCAACTTTCGGAGGCCCCATCACCACCACCACTATTGGTGGAGGCTCTAGTGGAGTTCGATCAACCACTGGAATATGGTGCTTTTTTGTCTTCAAATCCTGAGTCCTATTTGTTAAAAAATAAATAAATTCATTTTCAAAATATAAAAGGCAGTATCCCTATATGTAAAGATTTTAAAGAGAGCAGAACAGACAATACATAGGTATAATTAACTTGTTAACTCCTGGCTCCAATCCAAATAACCACTTCAGTAAATATATAAACAGATGGACTTCAACAGTACAGAATGTTGAAAACTATACAAACCTTAAATCTGATTGCTTTATTAGTTGATTACAGTAGTTTAAAGAGGAAAAAAAAGCAAACATAGAGGCAGTATATCATAATGAATAAGAGCAGAGGCTATAGAGTTAAATTTGGCTCCTTTACTGGAAGAATATAATTCACTAATGTTTAGCCCGGCCAGTATGGCTCAATGGTTGAACCAGAAGGTCACTGGTTCCATTCCTGGTCAGGGCACATGCCTGGGTTACGGGCTCCATCCCCAGTGGGGGGTGTAAAGGAGGCAGCTGATTAATGCTTCTCTCTCATCATTGATGTTTCTACTTCTCTCCCTTCCTCTCTGAAATGAATAAAAATACTTTAAAAAAAAAATAATGTTTAACCCAGCCGGCATGGCTGAGTGGTTGAACATAGACCTATAAACCAGAGGTCACAGTTCAATTCCCAGTCAGGGCGCATATAAGGATTCATTAAATAAAGTTATTTAATATTACATATTTCAACTATATAAAACACATCCAAAAAAAACCCCACAAGAACACCTATTATCAGAGATATTATTTAAAGTTTAAGAAGAAACAAATTCTATTAAAAAACTCATGGTTTTTCTTGGGCAAAAAAGGGCAATCAGAATAATCACTGGAGGCAAGGCAGCTTCCAAAGGAACGACCTCTTATGTCTTAGTAAAAGAAATACAGCATGCATCTCCATGACCTTCAGAGCTGAATAGACTCATGAATTCAAACATCATCTGGAGAGACTCCTACTGTTTAAAAAGAAAAAAATGAGCCCAGCCAGTGTGGCTCCATGGTCAAGTATCAACCTATGAACTGGGAGGTCACAATTCGATTCCTGGTCAGCACACATGCCAGGGTTGTGGGCTCCATCCCCAGTGGGGAGTGTGCAGGAGAGAGCTGATCTATGATTCTCTCTCATCATTGATATCCCTTCCTCTCTGAAATCAATAAAAATATATTATTTACAGAAAAAAATGAAAAAACCACTAGAAGAATCTAGCTAAACATACCTGTGAAAGGATCGAGCCATCCGCACAGCAGACTGGACTGCAAAAGCTTTGGGGTTTCTCTTCCGGGCATCTTCCTCATCTCCAAGTTGGAGGTCTTGCAAATGCCGTTTCTTTTTCTTTTCAGCTTTGGGCCCGCTGTTTTTCTTTCTGTGTTTCTTCTGGTCCTTGGTCTCCATAGTGACTTTTTACCAATTCACAACTAACCTACATTGAATGAGGTGGGGGTGGAGGAAGCATTTTACAATCTACACAGCACCCAGGGAAAAACAGTAAATTTATTTCTTTAAAAAAAAGACATATATGTTCACCCAAGAAGGGTAGGAACTACTTAATATGCCAAATTTCACTGCTCTGCTATAAATTAGATTAGTTACCTCTGCTTAGATTACTATCTATTCATCTTAAGTTTCTGCATTAGCATTGTCCATTTCTGCAACATGGAAACATTCTATAGCTATTAACACAGTAGTCACTAGCCACATGTGGCTAATGAACTTACAATGTACCAAGTGAAACCGAGACATTAACATTTCATTTTAATTAATTCCATTCTAAATTTAAATAGTCATATTTTACTAGAATATTTGGACAGCTCAGCTCTAAATAGCAACTGGACTAATAAAATGGCTTCCAAACAAACTATTTTAAGGTATTTTATTTTAAAAAATCAAAGCATTTTAATAACCCCCCAACATGATAGCAGTATTACTTTTAGTTTGATACTGTAAAACTCTTAAATTATAATAATTACCTACATACACTTAAGAAATGGCAATATGTACTCGTGTGAGATATGACTGGTTGTGGATGATGCCTGCAGACCACACAGATTTGCAGAAACCCTTGGGATTCCTGAGCATCCCACAAATTCATGGCCCATAAACTGGGAATCACTGGATTAAATTTTGTTGTTTGTTTGTTTTAAGGAAATCAGGCTGCATACAATATAGCACATGGTTAACAAAAAGGGGAGTGGGGCAATCAAGTCATCCAATGAAACTGAGATAACTTCAGTTCAATAAATACACGCGTCTGCCTATGATGTGCTCGGCAGGGTGCCGGGAGAAGGCTGCAGTTATGATCTGACTAGTGGGCGGAATTCAAACCAATGTCTTCGGCGCCAGGCAGTAAGGGCCACATCAGACGGCTGCACTGCAGGAGGGCAGGCCGATTCCCCCCCTCTCACCAGCGGAATAGAAAGTCCGCACATACCAGCATAATGTCAAGAAATACTAATGGGAGTTAGGGGAGCTGGGTTCTAGGAGCGCTTTGAAACTAAACAGCTGTGTGTTTCAGGACATCCTTTTTCTACTCAACGGTATCTTGGTTCCGAACTTGTATGCACTTGATGCCTTTACCCTCTGGGGGTGCCGGTTAGGTGGGGAGAGGGGAAACACTTTTTGGAATTAACTGACGTGGCTCGGGTCTGTCACCGGCCGGGATTACGCCGCATTGGAACGCCCGCCAGCTCTCCCTGCCCCTCTCCCCGGGTCCCGGCTCCGCACGCGCATTCCTTAGCCACGCCCCCAACGACCAAGGAGCAAGTCTCCGGAAGGTACGGAAGATGCCTGCCCGGCGCCTCAGGTTCTCCCCGGGGGCAGACTGCCCGAGACCGAACGCGGGCCTTCCCGTGCGCTCGGCTCGCGAAGCTCCCGGACCCCAGTCCTGGAGACCCCGCCGCCGCCGCCTCCCCCAGCCCCCGGCGCTCACCGAGCTCACAGGTGCTCCTGCTCAGCCTCGCGTGGACCACTCCGGAACCGGAAAGGCGTCCTACGCCCTTACTCCACCCGCCGGCGGGAAACAAGGCGGGGACCGAAGAAAGGGACCGGAGGAGGGACGACTTTCTGGGGAGAGCCGCAAGGAAGACTTGTGATTGGCTAGTGGAGGCGCCCCGCCCCGGGGATCCGACCGCGGGGACCGCCGCCCTCAGCTACAACTACCCTTCTGGGTTGGGAGTCGCTGTGGCTCGACCGCTTGCTCAGGAACAGCAGACTCAGGGCAGGGACGGACTGACCCACGTGGAATGCCTCGGCCTTCCTCTGACCCCGGGAAAGGACTTTCCGTGGGAGAACGCAGCCTCTTGCCGCTTTCTTCTAGCACAGGTTTGCCCATTCCACCCGAGGGACTGCTGCGGGTTCATGAGCCCATCTCGGGTGAGCTGGATGCCTTTGCCTACAGAGTTTGTATCTCCCTCTGGTCTTGGAGGTTTTCTTTTCAATATCCTACCAGTGCCGCCCGCCACCCCTACCCCCCAGGGCTCAGTTCTGCCTCATAAAACCAGGCACACTAGTAACTGAGAGCCCCTGCCCCCGATGCCCTTCACAGCGAGCTCCAGTTTCTCCCTCGGTGCCCACAGGCATTCGCTCTGCATCACTACACGCTGCTGTGCCAGGGAGGCTGCCCTCCAGGGCACACACTTCCTCCTCTGTGAAGAGCTCATAATTTTGTAGCTTTAACGCTAACCCCCATACTTCCCGGAGATTTCAGTATACAGGTGGGTAATCCTAGCATCCACTTGGCTCCGTGTGTCCCACTCTTGTCTTCTACCTTGGCGCAGCCTCAGTGCCCCTGTGATCACACCCTAGAACTTGTCTGAGGTCTGCAACCCCTGAAGCGCCCCACTCCGACTACCACTTCCGATGTTTCTAAGTTATTCCCTCTAATGCCCCCAAACCAAAACTCCTGCAACCCTACCAGTATCTCCAACCCACCTCTTACCACCTTCCTCCCTTGATGAGTTCTCCCTCCCTAGTAAGCTAGCGTGAACTCCATGGTCAGCCGTTATGAGGAGCTTCTTGCATCCTTTTTTAACTTCCTCATCTCCCTGTCACCTCATCATATCTGCTTGGTAAAATGAGAACCCTGGAGAAACCCACTTCTCCGTCTCCATACTGCAGCAGTGCAGCTAAACGCAGCTAGAGGAGAACACAGAACCGTCCTGACTGCCCTCCTTCAACAGTTCCAACATTGCTTGGTCTCTGCCATTCTCCCAAATGAGGATCTCACACCTCTCTTCTCTCTTCAGTCCTTCCCACCTCCTTCCCCCTCCATCCTACTTCACTAAGAAAATGGAAGTGGAGACTCCCACCGCTGCAGACTTCCACCACCATATCCACCAATGCCCCCCTCTGTTCCCTGCCCGTTACTGTAGATGCGCTACCTGTGTCCACCTCAACTAATCCTGCACCTGAGTGCTGGATCCTGTTACCTCCAGGGCGTCACTCCAGCCAGTCTGTTCCCTCCCCAGCACCATCAGTTTTTACTAGAGTATGCCCCTCATCATACAACCTGCAGTTATTTCATCTTCAAATGAACTCCTCTTGACCCCATTTCCTATACCTTTTCTCCATGTTTCTTTGTAGCAAAATTTCACAAAAGAATTGTCAGTATTTTTTCTGGTTCCTCTCCTATTCTCTCTTAGATTCGCTTTGCTCCCAGAACACCATCTACTAGTACAGTCCTGGGTTTTCCTTCTCAATGGCCTTTGTTCTTCCACTCCCACCTGACCAGCTGTCCACTGGGCTAGTACAGTCCTGGGTTTTCCTTCTCAATGGCCTTTGCTTGTTCTTCCACTCCCACCTGACCAGCTGTCCACTGGATGCACTGACTCTAAAGCCTCCTTGGAGGTGCAAGGTCAGCCACCACCTGTGCCCTGCCTGGGGCCACCCAGCACGAGCTGCACAGTGATCTGCAGATGGCTGCTACTTAAGCTGGGCTTGCAGGTGCCCAGGAGAGTCAAGGTGGGAACCAAGGCTGGCTGCTGTTAGTGCCAGGCCTGGGGCCTCTTGGTGAGAGGTATGAGGCATGCCAAGGCTAGATGCTGTGTGTTTGCAATTTGTGAACCTTTAAGAGATTTTCAGGAAAGTCCGCCACAGGAGCTAAGAAAGGCAGTTTGTATAGAAAAGCCACTGGAAACAACTTGGGTGGCCCACAGTTTGGGTGAGGCAGGGTCTCAGGGGATCAACAGGGAGGGGCAAACAGTGTGAGCCAGGTTGATGGAGACTCAGATATGGCCCCTCCCTTCGGGCTCGTCAAGGGTACTAGTGCCTCTGCCAGCACTTTTGTCCGACAGAAAGCTGCCCCTCCAGCTCTTGCCCAAATGCTGGAAAATTCAGTTCCTCCTCATATGTCCCTTGTGCCTTTCGAGCTGCTGCCCCAGTGCTAGAGCTCAGAGGGAGCAAGTCTGAGTCAGTACAAAGGCCCTTTAAGAGGAAGTGCTTGGAACTCCAGCAGCCTCAGTCCCTCTCAGCTTCCATCTCCCTCAGTCACCTACCCCCACTGTTTTTTTAAGCCAGAAGTTATGGGTTTTTTCTCTTCCTGCCACTGAAACCCTGGGCTGGGGGGATCTAGTGTGGGGCTAGGATTCCTCACTCCTCAGGGGGGTCCTCTACAGCCAAGATATACCTTCTGATTTTTATCTGGCACATGTGGGTGTGGGACCAGCTCATTCCATATCTCCACCCCTCCTACCAGTCTCAATGTGGCTTCTTTAAATCCCTAGTTGTAGGACTTCCATTCAGCTAAACTTCAGGCAGTTCTGAATAATGCTTGTTCTGTAATTTATTTTAATTTTATGCGGGTGTGGGAGGATTCGAGTAACTGCATTTACCTACACCATCATCTTGACCAGAAGTCTGTTAATTTTTTTGTACATATCTTACTTGAGTTTTGTTGAGTTCTGTGGTTCTTTATATATTCTGAATACAAGTCCTGTGATGGAAAGGGATTTGCAAGTATATTTTCAAATCTGTATCTTGGCTTTTTATTTTCTTCACAATCTTTTTTTTCAGCTAAAGTTACCAACTTTTTAAATAGATTGTGCTTTTGGTGTCATGTCCTAGAATTCTTGGACCAATCCCAGATCAGGAAAAATATTCCCTCTGCTTTCCTCTAAAAAGTTTATAGTGTTACATTTTACATTTAGAGCAATGATGCATTTTGAGTTACCTTCTGTATAATGAGAGGTTTTCGTTGAGGTTCAGTTTTTTTTTACATACATGTGTAAAATTGTTCTAATGCCATATATTGAAAAGCAATCCTTTCTACACAGGATTACTTCTGCAGCTTTCTTAAAATATGAGGGAAAAAACCAAAAAACACAAAACAACGCAAAAAAAGAAACGAACAAAAAACACACACAAAAAGCCCCACATGTGCAGGTCTATTTCTGGTTTATATAGTTTGTTCCCTTTGTCAGTACTACACTTTTTGATTACTGTAGCTTTACAGTAAATTTTAAATTAGGTATTGCTTTTCCACATAACTTTCAGTATCAGCTTCTTTATCTACAAAATATTCTATGTAAACAATCATGTCATCTGCAAATGTTTCACTTGTAATTTTTATTTTTCCCTTTATTGTACCTGGTATGAATTCCAATATGATATTGAATATAATATTAAGAGCAGACTTTTTTGGGGGGGGGAGGGTCTCAATCTTAGGGAAAAGCATTTAGTCTTTCACCATTAAGTATGATGCCAACCTTCAGTTGTTTGAAGATGCTTTGCTATGGATTGAATTGTTTTCCTTAAAAATTTATGCGTTGAGCCCTGGCTGGTGTGGTTCAGTTGATTAGGAGTCATCCCGTGCACCAAAAGGTTGCTGGTTCAATTCTCGGTCAGGTCACATGCCTGGGTTACAGGCTCGATCCCTAGTGGGAGTGTGCTGGAGCTAGCTGATCGGTGTTACATGCTCATATCCATGTTTCTCTCTTCTCCCTTCCTGTCTCTCTAAAAATCAATAAACTATTTAAAAAAATTTATGTGTTGAAACCCTGAGATCATGGGGGTGGGGTCCTAATATGATAGGATTTGTGGCCTTATAAGAAGAGACATTTATCTTTCTTTTCATGTGCATATACTAAGGAGAGTTTATATGAGTGCACAGCAAGAAGGCAGCCATCTGCAAGCCAGTTAGAGAGGTCTCAACAGGAATCAAATCAGGCAACACCTTAATCTTGGACTTCCCAGCCTCCAAAACTGTAAAAAAAATTTCTCTTTTTTCAGCCATCCAGTCTACAGCATTTTTGTTATGGCAGCCCAGACTAGGACACTGTCCCATTAAAGAAATTCATTTTCTTTCCTAATTTACTGAGAATTTTTTTATCATGAATAGATGTTGAATTTTGTCACCTAACTGTCTACATCAATTGTTGTAATTATGATATTTTCAGGGTGCTTATATAATAGTTTACATTTATTTTTTTATTAAATCTTTACTGTTCAGATTATTATAGTTGTTCCTCTTTTTCCCCCCCTAGCTCCCCTCCACCCGGTTCCCACCCCACCCTCCGCCCTCA